TTTTTCTTTGTAGAGGGCAATCTCCAGTTGCTCGGCAAGAAGCGAGGCGCAGAGGGAGGTTTCGCTGAGAGTTCCTTGCGTGCGAAGGAGTGACTTGCAATGGCGCCATTCCGGGCTCAAATCAGCAAGGATGATGGTGACGAACATGTCGTCTGGGAATTTGTCGCCGCTTTTCCTGAATTGATCTCTCATGTTTCTCCAATGGTTCATGTATAGCCCGGCCTTCTCGCCGGGGAACATCTTGACCTTGTTCAGCTGGTTGAGAAGGCGACTAAGTGTCACCGAAACTGTTGCCATGTGGCAGGTGCGCAAGTGTTCCCAGGATTGCTGCGCGGGTGCCCACTTATTCTGGAAAGGGCGAGTGCTTAGTTGTTCTTCGGGTGACAGGTTCCGGATGAGTACTGTGAAGGCCAGGAGCGACTCGTTGTAGTACTGACCGTCTTCTCCTGAGGTGAGCCGTTGGTCGGGAATGCGTATGACCCGTCGTAGTACATCCAGATCTGTGCACCTTGAGGTAGGAGTTCGAATTTAAAACTCCAGGTGTAGAAGTCTTTCCCGTCAAAGGGCTTCATGGTCCTGAGCTGTTATGTTGACATAAACTTGCTCTGCATTGATGCCATTGCATCGTAATGCGTTTGCTGTGCTTGTGCAGATCTTTGAGCTCCGCAATTGTCGAAGGTAAATGATCGCTCAGACCCAGCTCCTTGAGGATCATGAGGTCTTCGGGCGTAGCTAGAGTCGTCGATGCTTATTGGCTGGTGGCTCTCCTGTGCGTTGATGCGGAAGATGAGCTGCTCAATGAGCGCTAGATCACGGTCGTTGTTGTAAGGAATTACTGGATTTTCTCCAGCCTCTCCGCAATCTGCGCCTGACATGATGCTTGCCCTTGATGTAAGTATAAGTTATAGTGAAGTTTGTCTTGTTGAAAACTTTTGCAGTTCCTATAGTCCAAATTAGCTCTGATTCCATGCTAGCGTAAGGATCTTGGATATGATAGGATTGCCTTGGAGATTCTTGGTAGCGGAAAACTTGTGGTAGGAACCTTGTGCATAGTGGATGTAAATGACAAGGTTGATCACAATGATAAAATACGCACAATAAATTGATCTAGCTAGCCATGTACTCTAAGGAGTACATTCCCTTATTCGAACTGTTTTACTGGAAGTTCTACAGTGATTCTGACTATTGCTCTTCTTGTTACCGAGTCGCTACCAGGGCAAATTTTATCAGTGTAAATCACCCTGATACCCTGATTATCAGGGTGGTTTTGGGTAGTCACACTGATGGCCTAGGATTTTTTTTTTTTCGGGAGCTAGAATTTTCCTGATATGCCAGTGTTTGCATTTAAGGCACACTGATGGCTCAGGGTTACCGATTTCTTAACGAGATTTACCCTGAAGCGAGTACCATAACCCCCACCCCCACCCCCCCCCCCCCCCCCCCCTCCCCTTCCCCCTAACACCCTCCCCCCCAATTCACCCTCGCACTTCCTGTCCCGCTAAATAGGAAAAAGAGATAAAACGCAAGATATCGCAACACTCACGATGGAGTGGCCCGGTCGGTAGATTTGACATCGGAAGGATGAAGATTAGAGTTCGAATCTCGTAGCCCGCATTTTTCGTTCAGAACTTCATTAGAAACACTTCATCAGGGTATTGAAAATTGTTACACTGTGGCATAAGGGTATTTTTTTTGAAACTATGGAAAACCCTGATGGAAAAGAATTTTCCGAAGGGGTCACACTGATAATCAGGGTTTTGCAAAGGTGCAGGACTGATGATAAGGGTTGCTTCAAACCAAAAATTAGCCCTGGTCGCTACGTGTATCCGTACAGACGGTTACGCCTGCTGTCATTCCTTGATGGTGAGCCAATCGGTCCAAATGGTCAACAGTCGCGACCGTTGACCTTTTCGACTGTTGACCTTCATGCCCTTGATACGGGCTGATCCGATACTGCTGCTAGTGCTGTTTCGATAGTGACGGGTGCGGTACAGCAACACCTACGTGAATGTTAAAGTCAATTCCCTTCATACTCCAACAACACCATCAGAACGATTTGGTATGATAACCAGAGCCCTGGCTGGTCGTTGGATACCAACCGACCCGGGTGGTTCGGCCGCGATGGTCGTGATGGCGGGAACAGTGCTGCGGCGAATGTGCGAGATGATAATGGCTACTGTTCGGATTTTCAGCTGGAAAAAGTGGTGTACGCGGTATACAGTACGACATGAAGTAAGGGAAAGTTGTTTCCTTACACTAACAAATGGCTGCATTTGTTTTTGTATGTAATCATATTTTACATGTAGATAAGATCCATCATGTTCGTTCTTTCCTTTCTCAAAAACGCGTCACTTTACGAGAGGCTGCACCATGATCCCAAGGTTTGAGAATGGAAACCTGTCAGCCGAACAGTGGCAGACCTACTAGTTAGTAGCTACTATGGGTCGCAGGCGGGAGAGGAAAGCGAAAGGCGCTTTAGGAGGCGGTGGGCGACGAGTGAAGCTCGATCTATGGGGATCCGAGCCGGCCGAAGGTTCGTTCAGGCGTTTTGTTTCTGTTCAGTAATTGGCTTGACGGAAGCGCTGCCAGCGTGTCGTCCTAGTTGACGTTCGAGTCGACTGGAATGTCGAAGGTTCGTTCGGGCTTCTTAGTAGATAGTTGGAGTGAGGGAAGCAGTTTCTGTGTGTCGTTCTTTCTACCCTGTCTTACTTAAGACGTTTGCTTAAGTTCATCCTTCATATCTTCTGGTCTTTGTTTATTTTCCGGGTTCGATGTTCCTCTAGAGTTTCGTCCATTTGACTAACCAGCTCAGCGAACGTCTTTTGCGTCCGATCGTTATTCATCGCGGTTAGTCGCATTCTATTAGTCCCGTTTTGGAACCCCTTCATAAATTCCTCTCGGATGTTTTGCCATCCAGCGCCAGACGAAAAGGCGAACTTAGTTTTTTTTTTCCTTTCTTTTTTCATGTTACGTCCGTTACTCCATTCTTATCTTATCAGATGCACAGGAGGAAGCAAATCCATCAGCCGGGGAAGAGCACTTGTCAGGCGAAGCTTTTCAGAAGGGGGATGGCGATCAGGCAGCCTCAGAATTGCCGGCAACTTCTGTGCTGACGTCATCGTCGGCAGCAGCAGCAGCAGCTGCTGCTACCGCTGACGCACCCTTGCCTTCTGTAGAAGGTGCGTGGAAGCTTCCCTTCCTTCCACTCCTACTGTTATGATACCATATGCGAGCCGTGTGGGTCAGATGGTCAACAGATGGCGTGTGCTCCACGCTTACAGCCGAGGGGGAGTAACTACAGAGCTGGAATGGAATATTCTCACACACATTGCCACGTCATCATCAGCAGCCTCACCTCACCCTTTGGTCATTATCATCCAGCTGAGAATAATGGCAGCTGCTGCTGCTACTGCCCAGCCTCCTCCCGTGTCATCACTCTCTCTTCACGTCTCTCGCACTGCCACTCATCCTGCTTTGGTGGAAGGGGTCCGGTTTGCCTTCACTACAAGCACGGACCGCAAGCACAGTGACTTACCTCTAGTGACATTGGGAAGGGAAGGGCCGGGCGAAACGGAGGCGAGGAGGAGGGCTGGTTGGCTTGGCTTGGGACGGTGCAATGTGGTGCAGTTGAATGTTGCAGGTTCATTACAGTCCCTGTGCAGCACTGCTGGAAGAACAACCGGTGCATCGCGCTCCTGTGACGTGTCTCAGTCTCAGCTTTTCAGCAGATTGGATACCACCTGCGGTAGGTGCAGGTTTGTGTCCTCTTTCACTGCTCGCGCCGCCCCTTCACTTGAACAGCGTGTTTGCTGCCGATGGTCGCTCATTGATAATTGCTCATATGTTGTCTACACCAGATACCACAGATCGTATTCTGAATGCGATGAGTGCCTATTCTTGTCAACCCCTTTACTTGATAGAGGGTATGTGCGTATCTAACCTTTGAGGTGGTGCAATTGTCCACGTGGCACTTCCTGGATTTTCGTTCGGTGAAGTAAAACCCAGTTTGATTCACGCGATATGGAGAATCCCTCAAGTGGTTTGAATGCGAATCTCACTCTGTACTTTCTCGCCTTTCTGCCTCTCTCCCACTGCCTCCCGTTGTTCTCCCTGCCCCTTGTCCTTTGTTGTACTCGACTCGACCACTCTCTTTTCTCTCTCCCATCCCAGGCCCCAAGGCACCGGACCCTCTCTCGCTTCTAGGAGCGTACAGCGATGAGGAGGAGGAAGAAGAGGAGGAGGAAGGGGAGGGGGGAGAGACGGAGGGGGAAAAAAACGGGGAGGGGGATGTTAGCAAAGCGGAGGAGGGGGATGCGGTGGAGATGGATGACGAGGTAAGCTTGCAGTTGTATAGGCGTGCGTAGGTGTGTAGGTGTGCATAGGTGTGTTGTGAGCTTGCGTAGGTGTGTGGGCGTGCGTAGGTGTGTGTGTGGGCGTTCGTAGGGGTGTGGGCGTACGTAGGTGTGTGGGCGTGCGTCGCGTAGGTGTGTGGGCGTGCGTAGGTGTGTGTGTGGGCGTGCGTAGGTGTGTGTGTGGGCGTGCGTAGGTGTGTGTGTGGGCGTGCGTAGGTGTGTGTGTGGGCGTGCGTAGGTGTGTGTGTGGGCGTGCGTAGGTGTGTGTGTGGGCGTGCGTAGGTGTGTGTGTGGGCGTGCGTAGGTGTGTGTGTGGGCGTGCGCAGGTGTGTGGGCGTGCGTAGGTGTGTGTGTGGGCGTGCGTAGGTGTGTGTGTGGGCGTGCGTAGGTGTGTGTGTGGGCGTGCGTAGGTGTGTGTGTGGGCGTGCGCAGGTGTGTGGGCGTGCGTAGGCGTGTGGGCGTGTCTTTTCAAGGCAATGCACAACTTTGCGCTCTTCTCACCCCCGTCCTCTATCTCTCCTGTCTGAGCTAAAGGAGAGCGGCTCATTGGACTAGCAATGAGTATGTCTGTTTTCTTCCCTTCTTTATACTGTCTTCTTCCCCCTTCTCCGCTTCTCCTTGTCGTTTGTTGCCCTGGTGGCCCCTCAGATGCTGGCGTTCATGTCCGACCTCAAGGAGAGCGGCCTGCTGGACGAGCACGGGGGGCACGCACCTGAAGGGACGGAGCGTGGGAGAGACAAGGAGGGTGCTGAAGGGAGTGCGGGAGAGGAGGAGAGGGCAGAGGGGGACGTGGCGAAAGGGGAGGCTGGGAGCGGGAAGGAGGGTGTGGGTAGGGAGGGGGAAAATATGAAAGAGGAGAAGACGATAGATGGTGAAGAGAGGTTGGAAGAGGAGGCGGAGGGAGGGCGAGAAGGGAGTGGCGGGGCAGCAGAGGTAGAGAGCAAAGCTGACTGGCATAGTGATGCTTGGGAAAGCCGTGAGAAGCAGGAGGGGAAAGTGAAGGGCGGGGAGGCGCAGGAGGGAGAGGGAGAGGAAAAGACAGGGGAGGCAGGGAAGGAAGGAGGGGATGGTGTGCCTTCCCATGGCGGTGGTGCTGCTGCTGGTGTGTGGCAGGCTGTGTTGGAGCCCGAGAGTGGCGAGTACTACTACTGGAACACCGTCACTGGAGAAACCTCCTGGTCAGTGCCGGACAAGGTTGTGCAAAACGAGGGTGCTGGGGTTGGGGTGGGCACGGTAGAGGGAGTGGGAGAGAAGGGGGGTATGATTGAGGGAGATGAGGAGGTGGGGCGGTGTGAGAGCGAGAGGAGGGAGAGAGGGGAGGAGAAAGGGGAGGAGAGAGAGGAGGAGAAAGGGGAGGAGAGAGGGCAGGAGAGTGGGGAGGAGGGTGGTGAACAGAGACAGGAGGAAGCAGATGAGACGATGGGAAGTGCAGGGGAAAGAGATGGGGTTGAGAGGAGGGAGAGAGAAGGGGAGCGGGTGAAGCAAGAGGACAGGTCTATGCGAGAGGAAGGGGAGACGCAGCAGTGTGTGGAAGAGCATGTGGGGATGGACGAGGAGGGCAGTGACGGCTTGCGTGCACGTGAAGGCGTGCATGCAGCTGTCCCTGCCGCTGCTGCTGTTCCCGTCCCTGTTCTTGAGGGCTCAAGGGAGCAATCAGAGGGACAAGTAGCTGAGCGCCACCTGGCAGGAGGTGCTGCTGACATGGCGAGCGCCGTTGCCATGGCAGCAATGCTGCAGTCCTTGCAGGAACAGGTCGAATCAGCAGAGGCTGAGCTGGTAGCAACAGCTGCTGACATGGCGGATAAGACAGGTGACGCTGTATCCAGGCTGGAGTCCGTGCAGCAGCAGCTGACAGCTGTCGAATCCAGGCTTCCTGCTCCTCCCCCCACCTCTAACACTTCACCCTCTCTCCCTTCCTACCCACTGTCCCCCCCACTCTCCGCTTCCCTCACCGCCCTCTCCGCCTCTCTCACTCGCCTGCAGCTAGAGGCCTCCATCCGCCTGTCAGACCTCAATTCCCTCTCCCACCGCTTTGCACAGGCGTCTGCAGCAGCAGCGGTAGCAACAGCTGTAGCGCCCCCTACCACTGCAGCTGCTGCCCCTACGGCCCCCGCAGCTGTAGCGCCATCATCCTCTGCTGGATTGCCAGAACCTCCCGTGCTACAGCCATGGCAGGACCTGCAGCAACGGCTGCTACAGGTGCAGGTACAGCAGGGGTTGCAGGCGGGGCTGCTGGTGGTTGTGGGGTACTGCTTGGAGCAGGTGGGGCGAGTGGAGGGAGAGAGTGAGGAGGTGCAGGGGAGAGTGGATAGAGTGAGGGAGCAGTGGGAGGAGGAGAAGCAACGGCGGGAAGAGGAAGAAGAGAAGCAACGGCGGGAAGCGGAGGAAAAGCAACGGCGGGAGGAAGAGGAGGAAAGACAAGGGCGGGAGGTAAAGGAGAAAAAGGGACGATTGGAAGAGGAGGAGAGACGGGTGAGCGAAGAGGTGAGGCGGGGACGGGAGGAAAGGCAAAGGCAGGAAGAGGAGGTGGAAAGGAATGAGCAGGTGAGGGGGGAGGTTGCAGATAAGGTGAGAGAAACGGGGAATCAGGAGGAGCGGGGTGGGGTGGAGAGGGGTTCTGGTCCGACCTGGAAGGGTATGGAGCAGTACTCAGCATCAGAGAGTGGGGAGATTTCTCCAGAGGGAGAGGAGGAAGGAGAGGAGGAAGTGGAGGGAAGAGCAGGAAAGTGGGCGGTGAAGCAAATTGGTGCTGGTGGGTTGGGTGGTGTTGATGATGGCAATGATTTTGAGGCGACTAGAAAGAGTGGTGCTAATGGGTTGGGTGGTGGTGACGAGGATATGGATGTCGAGATGGAAATGGATGGGGTAGAGGGAGCAGGAGGAGGAGTGGGGGTAGCACAAGGGGCAGGAGGAGGAGTGGATGGAGGAGGGGCAGGGCATTCGTCTCTACCACCACCAGCATCACCACCACCACCTCCTCTCCCTCCGTCCCCTCCCCCGCAACCACCGCAATCCCCCCCTCCCCCTCCTCCCCCTGACGCGCCTGAACCCTTGCCTCCTGCTGACGCTCATGCTGCTGACGCCAGTGCCAGTGCTCCTGGCGATGCAACTGCTTACGCTGCGGACGCCGCTGCTGTTCATGCTGCTGCTCTTAGTGCCGCTGCCACCGCGTATGCCTCTGATCCCGCCAATGCTTCTGCAGCTACAGCAGCAGCAGCAGCAGCAGCAGCAGCTACAGCAGCAGCAGGTGACTGGCCGTATGCAGCCACAGCAGCACCATATGCCTACGATCCGGCAACAGCGGCAGCAGCAGCTTCAAGCTATGACCCTTCTGCTGCTGCTTGGGCTTCCCATTATGCTGCCTATGCAGCAGCAGGAGCAGGAGCAGCAGCAGAACCGCCAGCAGGGTACACAGCAGAAGCAGCTTATTACCAGTCATACTCAGACATGTATGGTTACACTCCCACCTACCCCACTGCCACCACTGTTTCCTCTGCCCCTGTAACGTACGCTGCTGCCCCCACTGCTGCGACAACCGCCACTGCTGCTACAACTACTACTGCCACTGCGGCTACAGCTACTACTGCCACCCGTCGGCCTCGTGTTGTGGTTGCAGCACCAGCATTGGTCAGACCAGCAGCAGCAGCAGCATCAGGTGGTGGTGCTGATGGTGGTGCAGCGAGAGAGGAACGGGAGGCATCATGCACTGGAGCACACGACGGGGACCAACGCACAGCTTCTGCTGCTCCTGCTGCTGCCCCTGCTCCTTCGCCTGCTGTTGCTCCTGTGCTTTCCACAATGGAGGCTGTAGCTGCTGCTGTTGCGGCGGCCAAACAGCAGGCAGAAAAGGGTGCGTGTGCTTGGTTGGATATGAAGTTTTCTATGCGGTAATCTGCTTTCTTCTGTCACCATCGTTCTTCTTTCCATTCTTCTTTCCTTCCACCCCTGCCTTTTTTTTCCCTCGTCTCGCCACTCGTCACTTCGTTTCGCTGTGTGCCTCCTTTCATCTCTCTTCATCTCCTTGCAACTCTGTTAGTCTAATCAGACCCCTTCTCATCTCCTTGCACCGTCTAGGAATCCTTGCTACTCTCCTGTCGTCCCAAGAGGAACCCAATCGAGGTGGGGAAGAGCGCACGCATGCATGCAGATGGTCCTCACAACAACTCGCATTCCCCTCCCCCTTTCCCGTATCTCGTGCAGCAACAAAGCCCAAGAGGAAAGCGGCAGTGGGAGGGGCACATGCAACCAAGAAAGTGTCTTCGCTGGTTAACAAGGTGAGATGAGATCCACTGTTGAGGCAGCTCAATAGAGGGCCATTATTTCCGCGACTCAAAAGTGGGAGACATGTGAGCAAGAAAGTGTCTTCCCTGGTAAACAAGGTAGGGGTTGGAACTTTATGTATTTTATGTGCGTGCTGCTCTTGTGACAAACCTTCCCTCCATTGCTCCTTCGCCTGAGCAAGAGGATGTCTTCCCCATTGGGGTGAACAAGGTGACATCCATTGGGGTGAACAAGGTGACATCCATTGGGGTGAACAAGGTGACATCCATTGGGGTGAACAAGGTGACATCCATTGGGGTGAACAAGGTGACATCCATTGGGGTGAACAAGGTGACATCCATTGGGGTGAACAAGGTGACATCCATTGGGGTGAACAAGGTGACATCCATTGGGGTGAACAAGGTGACATCCATTGGGGTGAACAAGGTGACATCCATTGGGGTGAACAAGGTGACATCCATTGGGGTGAACAAGGTGACATCCATTGGGGTGAACAAGGTGACATCCATTGGGGTGAACAAGGTGACATCCATTGGGGTCTGTTGTCCCAAGCTCATACGCTTCATGTTTATCACCGCTCTCCTCACATACCTTCCCTCCTTTTTCTCCTTCTCCTGTTGCTTCCGCCTCTCTCTCTCCTTCAATACCCTCTCCCCTCACACTCTCCCCTTCACTCCACTGTGGCAGTGGCAAACAGGAAGAATAAGACGAGAGGATGGGGCGGGATTGCCTGTAACTCTTCCATTCAGCTTTCCCCCGTTTGCCCCTTCCTCTCCCCTCCTGCTCTTTCTCCCCTTCCCTCTGTTCTGGCAGTGAGAAGGGAGAGGTAGGAACTAAACGAGGAGAGGGATGCGGCAGGAAGGGGAAGCGGAGGATGAAGAGGTGGGAGTAGAGTCAGTGATCGGTACCTGTAACACTTCTCCCTTGCGCTCTCTCATCTTCCCTCGGCTGTTGCAGTGGAAAGCAGCCAAGGAAGAACTAGACGAGGAGAGGATGAGGCGCGAGCAGGAAGAGGAGGAGAGGGAGCGGGCGTTATATGATGGGGAGGTGATTGGGAAGAAGCGGCAGAAGAAAATCGAGGTGAGGGGGAGTGGGGGGGAGCGGGGAACAAGGTCAAGGGCGTGTGAGTTGTGGGGCCTATTTGTTGGCGTTTTTTGGGAGCGTTCTCCTCATCGATGTTTATAAAATATGCGCGTCCTTCAAGTGTTGGTGTTCGGCTGGGAAAGAGAGCGGTCCTTGTTCAGTGGGGAGGTGATTGGAAGAACCAGCAGAAGAAAATATGGGTGAGGGGGGTGGGGGGGTGGGAAGGAAGGGGTGCTTTCATTCCAAGACTCTGTGTGATTGGGAAAAGAAACGTGCCTGAATGCAGGTTCTTGCGCTTTTCTATTTGTTCATGTTATTCTCTCAGGGTTTAGGGTTGTGCTTCCCCAGAAGTGAAAGCATATTAGTAATGAGGTGCTTCGAAAGCATGGTTTATTTTGTTTCGATTTGTTGTGGCCCAGGAGTGGAAGCAGCAGCAGTTGCAGACAGGCGAGGCCGAGGAGAACGCCAACTTCCAACCACTCGCAGTCGATTGGTAAGAAAGAAGAGCTGTTTCGTTTGTAGTAGGATGGCACATTTGTCATTGGTCGAGTACCTCCCGGACGACCCTGTTCATGGCCACTTCAAATGTCCAAGGCGCGTTCGCGAACGGCATCACTGTAAACTCGTAACTGCCGTAACGGGTTCGGAAGGAGGTCTTGTGGCAGTCGTCAGCGAAGACTCTGATCTGGTGGTAACCCCCGCGCAGCGCAGCGCAGGTCAATCTTCGACAAGTAGCGAGCGCCGCCAAGGTGATCGAGGAGGTTGTCGGTGCGCGGGATTGGATAGCAAGACTTGATTGTTACCCGATTGGATAGTACAAGCTTACAGACTGAATGTTTTTGCCCTTTTCGCTGTCCCGACCAATCCCTGTCGAATGGTATCAGGCCATGTGTTTTGAGCATTTGGATAACCTGTTATCTATCTTCTGCAGTCCCCTTGTATCTGATCGACAAACAGAGTAAACAAGCAAACAGAAACAGAGAATCTTTTGCCGTGTGTCTGTGATTTGGAGTAAAGGAAAACATCAGGGCCACGTGCCTATCTCTGCCCCTACCTTCCTGCCAAGGCAAGGTGCATATCCCTGCCCCTCCCTTCCCATCAAGGCAAGGTGCCTATCCCTGCCCCTCCCTTCCCATCAAGGCAAGGTGCCTATCCCTGCCCCTCCCTTCCCACCAAAACAGGCGAGAGCAAGTGGAGAGGGCAAGAGGGGCGAGTCAGGCTCAGGCTGACTGTTGGGTTCAATCGCAAAACTTAACGTGTCCCTCGTCCCACCTCGGCCCACCTCTGCCTCTTGACTATCCCACCTCTGCCTCTTGACTATCCCACCTCTGCCTCTTGACTATCCCACCTCTGCCTCTTGACTATCCCACCTCTGCCTCTTGACTATCCCACCTCTGCCTCTTGACTATCCCACCTCTGCCTCTTGACTATCCCACCTCTGGCTCTTGACTATCCCACCTCTGGCTCTTGACTATCCCACCTCTGCCTCTTGACTATCCCACCTCTGCCTCTTGACTATCCCACCTCTGCCTCTTGACTATCCCACCTCTGCCTCTTGACTATCCCACCTCTGCCTCTTGACTATCCCACCTCTGCCTCTTGACTATCCCACCTCTGGCTCTTGACTATCCCACCTCTGCCTCTTGACTATCCCACCTCTGGCTCTTGACTATCCCACCTCTGCCTCTTGACTATCCCACCTCTGCCTCTTGACTATCCCACCTCTGCCTCTTGACTATCCCACCTCTGCCTCTTGACTATCCCACCTCTGCCTCTTGACTATCCCACCTCTGCCTCTTGACTATCCCACCTCTGCCTCTTGACTATCCCACCTCTGCCTCTTGACTATCCCACCTCTGCCTCTTGACTATCCCACCTCTGCCTCTTGACTATCCCACCTCTGCCTCTTGACTATCCCACCTCTGCCTCTTGACTATCCCACCTCTGCCTCTTGACTATCCCACCTCTGCCTCTTGACTATCCCACCTCTGCCTCTTGACTATCCCACCTCTGCCTCTTGACTATCCCACCTCTGCCTCTTGACTATCCCACCTCTGCCTCTTGACTATCCCACCTCTGCCTCTTGACTATCCCACCTCTGCCTCTTGACTATCCCACCTCTGCCTCTTGACTATCCCACCTCTGCCTCTTGACTATCCCACCTCTGCCTCTTGACTATCCCACCTCTGGCTCTTGACTATCCCACCTCTGGCTCTTGACTATCCCACCTCTGCCTCTTGACTATCCCACCTCTGCCTCTTGACTATCCCACCTCTGCCTCTTGACTATCCCACCTCTGCCTCTTGACTATCCCACCTCTGCCTCTTGACTATCCCACCTCTGCCTCTTGACTATCCCACCTCTGCCTCTTGACTATCCCACCTCTGCCTCTTGACTATCCCACCTCTGCCTCTTGACTATCCCACCTCTGCCTCTTGACTATCCCACCTCTGCTCTTGACTATCCCACCTCTGCCTCTTGACTATCCCACCTCTGCCTCTTGACTATCCCACCTCTGCCTCTTGACTATCCCACCTCTGCCTCTTGACTATCCCACCTCTGCCTCTTGACTATCCCACCTCTGCCTCTTGACTATCCCACCTCTGCCTCTTGACTATCCCACCTCTGCCTCTTGACTATCCCACCTCTGCCTCTTGACTATCCACCTCTGCCTCTTGACTATCCCACCTCTGCCTCTTGACTATCCCACCTCTGCCTCTTGACTATCCCACCTCTGCCTCTTGACTATCCCACCTCTGCCTCTTGACTATCCCACCTCTGCCTCTTGACTATCCCACCTCTGCCTCTTGACTATCCCACCTCTGGCCTCTTGACTATCCCACCTCTGCCTCTTGACTATCCCACCTCTGCCTCTTGACTATCCCACCTCTGCCTCTTGACTATCCCACCTCTGCCTCTTGACTATCCCACCTCTGCCTCTTGACTATCCCACCTCTGCCTCTTGACTATCCCACCTCTGCCTCTTGACTATCCCACCTCTGCCTCTTGACTATCCCACCTCTGCCTCTTGACTATCCCACCTCTGCCTCTTGACTATCCCACCTCTGCCTCTTGACTATCCCACCTCTGCCTCTTGACTATCCCACCTCTGCCTCTTGACTATCCCACCTCTGCCTCTTGACTATCCCACCTCTGCCTCTTGACTATCCCACCTCTGCCTCTTGACTATCCCACCTCTGCCTCTTGACTATCCCACCTCTGCCTCTTGACTATCCCACCTCTGCCTCTTGACTATCCCACCTCTGCCTCTTGACTATCCCACCTCTGCCTCTTGACTATCCCACCTCTGCCTCTTGACTATCCCACCTCTGCCTCTTGACTATCCCACCTCTGCCTCTTGACTATCCCACCTCTGCCTCTTGACTATCCCACCTCTGCCTCTTGACTATCCCACCTCTGCCTCTTGACTATCCCACCTCTGCCTCTTGACTATCCCACCTCTGCCTCTTGACTATCCCACCTCTGGCTCTTGACTATCCCACCTCTGCCTCTTGACTATCCCACCTCTGCCTCTTGACTATCCCACCTCTGCCTCTTGACTATCCCACCTCTGCCTCTTGACTATCCCACCTCTGCCTCTTGACTATCCCACCTCTGCCTCTTGACTATCCACCTCTGCCTCTTGACTATCCCACCTCTGCCTCTTGACTATCCCACCTCTGCCTCTTGACTATCCCACCTCTGCCTCTTGACTATCCCACCTCTGGCTCTTGACTATCCCACCTCTGCCTCTTGACTATCCCACCTCTGCCTCTTGACTATCCCACCTCTGCCTCTTGACTATCCCACCTCTGCCTCTTGACTATCCACCTCTGCCTCTTGACTATCCCACCTCTGGCTCTTGACTATCCCACCTCTGCCTCTTGACTATCCCACCTCTGCCTCTTGACTATCCCACCTCTGCTCTTGACTATCCCACCTCTGCCTCTTGACTATCCCACCTCTGCCTCTTGACTATCCCACCTCTGCCTCTTGACTATCCCACCTCTGCCTCTTGACTATCCACCTCTGCCTCTTGACTATCCCACCTCTGCCTCTTGACTATCCCACCTCTGCTCTTGACTATCCCACCTCTGGCTCTTGACTATCCCACCTCTGCCTCTTGACTATCCCACCTCTGCCTCTTGACTATCCCACCTCTGCCTCTTGACTATCCCACCTCTGCCTCTTGACTATCCCACCTCTGCCTCTTGACTATCCCACCTCTGCCTCTTGACTATCCCACCTCTGCCTCTTGACTATCCACCTCTGCCTCTTGACTATCCCACCTCTGCCTCTTGACTATCCCACCTCTGCCTCTTGACTATCCCACCTCTGCCTCTTGACTATCCCACCTCTGCCTCTTGACTATCCCACCTCTGCCTCTTGACTATCCCACCTCTGCCTCTTGACTATCCCACCTCTGCCTCTTGACTATCCACCTCTGCCTCTTGACTATCCCACCTCTGCCTCTTGACTATCCCACCTCTGCCTCTTGACTATCCCACCTCTGCCTCTTGACTATCCCACCTCTGCCTCTTGACTATCCCACCTCTGCCTCTTGACTATCCACCTCTGCCTCTTGACTATCCCACCTCTGCCTCTTGACTATCCCACCTCTGCCTCTTGACTATCCCACCTCTGCCTCTTGACTATCCCACCTCTGCCTCTTGACTATCCCACCTCTGGCTCTTGACTATCCCACCTCTGGCTCTTGACTATCCCACCTCTGCCTCTTGACTATCCCACCTCTGCCTCTTGACTATCCCACCTCTGCCTCTTGACTATCCCACCTCTGCCTCTTGACTATCCCACCTCTGGCCTCTTGACTATCCCACCTCTGCCTCTTGACTATCCCACCTATGCCTCTTGACTATCCCACCTCTGCCTCTTGACTATCCCACCTCTGGCTCTTGACTATCCCACCTCTGCCTCTTGACTATCCCACCTATGCCTCTTGACTATCCCACCTCTGCCTCTTGACTATCCCACCTCTGCCTCTTGACTATCCCACCTCTGCCTCTTGACTATCCCACCTCTGCCTCTTGACTATCCCACCTCTGCCTCTTGACTATCCCACCTCTGCCTCTTGACTATCCCACCTCTGCCTCTTGACTATCCCACCTCTGCCTCTTGACTATCCCACCTATGCCTCTTGACTATCCCACCTCTGCCTCTTGACTATCCCACCTCTGCCTCTTGACTATCCCACCTCTGCCTCTTGACTATCCCACCTCTGCCTCTTGACTATCCCACCTCTGCCTCTTGACTATCCCACCTCTGGCTCTTGACTATCCCACCTCTGCCTCTTGACTATCCCACCTATGCCTCTTGACTATCCCACCTCTGCCTCTTGACTATCCCACCTCTGGCTCTTGACTATCCCACCTCTTGCTCTTGACTATCCCACCTCTGGCTCTTGACTATCCCACCTCTGGCTCTTGACTATCCCACCTCTGCCTCTTGACTATCCCACCTCTGGCTCTTGACTATCCCACCTCTGCCTCTTGACTATCCCACCTCTGCCTCTTGACTATCCCACCTCTGCCTCTTGACTATCCCACCTCTGGCTCTTCACTATCCCACCTCTGCCTCTTGACTATCCCACCTCTGCCTCTTGACTATCCCACCTCTGCCTCTTGACTATCCCACCTCTGCCTCTTGACTATCCCACCTCTGCCTCTTGACTATCCACCTCTGCCTCTTGACTATCCCACCTCTGCCACTTGACTATCCCACCTCTGCCTCTTGACTATCCCACCTCTGCCTCTTGACTATCCCACCTCTGCCTCTTGACTATCCCACCTCTGCCTCTTGACTATCCCACCTCTGCCTCTTGACTATCCCACCTCTGCCTCTTGACTATCCCACCTCTGGCTCTTGACTATCCCACCTCTGCCTCTTGACTATCCCACCTCTGCCTCTTGACTATCCCACCTCTGCCTCTTGACTATCCCACCTCTGGCTCTTGACTATCCCACCTCTGCCTCTTGACTATCCCACCTCTGCCTCTTGACTATCCCACCTCTGCCTCTTGACTATCCCACCTCTGCCTCTTGACTATCCCACCTCTGCCTCTTGACTATCCCACCTCTGCCTCTTGACTATCCACCTCTGCCTCTTGACTATCCCACCTCTGCCTCTTGACTATCCCACCTCTGGCTCTTGACTATCCCACCTCTGCCTCTTGACTATCCCACCTCTGGCTCTTGACTATCCCACCTCTGCC